TAAGAACGATCAAAGGGACATCATTATCACACATATCACGGTGCAGTGCAATTTTAAGTCGATTTATCATATCTTTATTAATGCAGCTTGTCGTAATCCATGGATCTAAATATGTGCATACATGAGTATAAGAGGTAGTAAAGATTTTTTGAAATATTTACATGTCGTCTTTCCTATAGCAGATAAGCCATGCTGAATGGCGTGCATAGTTTCTACTGAAATTTGAAAGTTCTTTTCTTCATTATTCAACATATCAGCAGTTTGAATTGACACAATGAAATCAGGAGCTGGAAGTTGGTATGCCTCGATGAGCTTCGTGATTGCATAGGGTCTCGTTGTGACAGAAAGATGAGTATACTGAATAGATATAGAGAATGAAAATTTTGCTAAAACAATATGAATTTAACAGAATCGCTAGATAACTCTGTGCACAGAGAAAAGTTTTCAATCAATAGCTATATATATGGTATGTCTTATTTAATAGAAGTGATATCACAGGTAGCACTTAGAATGAAAGGAACTGCATAATTGGAGGCTATGACTAGCATATGATCTTATTATTGTTAGATATGTACTTGTGCTTACTATTTCATTTTGTTTCATCAAAATGGGCAAAGCATGATTTCTTTTTCAAATGAGTAGAGATCACAGTGTATTGGTCGATAAATAAAGAAGTACCGAATTCATTAGAACTAGAGTTCTGTTTCTGAAGTTCTTAAATAAACTATTGATTAATGATTCAGATCACGAATTATATCATACAATAGTCTTAGGCCTGTTGAGCTGTTAAACTAAAAATAATTCTCAATAATCATACGCTTGTTTTAAAACTAGAGAAATCAAAGATCGTCAACCATGCAGAGTTATTATCAATCACAATTTTGGGCATTGATCATTATTCATTTAGTGAGTGTAAATAAGAGACGAAAACGACGTACCGATGAAAAACGATTACTTTTGCTGCTATCAGAATCATCGATTTCCTCATCTTTGAGATCAGGCGGTGATGCGCTAAAAATACAGCAGAAGTTTGATAGGCTAATGTAGAAAATAAATAACTCCTTTAATCCTGATAATTTTTAACGCAATAAATTATTCTGCACTTCTATGAAGAAGACTTACCGAAAGTCAATATCAGGTATGTTGAACATTTCGATGACCTGCAATAAAAGCAAATATTTAAATAATTAAATACTTCATCACAGAAGCGTACTTTAAACACGCGGCCATATAATTGTGACAAGGTTTTTGGATCTAAAATCGATACCCAGTATATATAAGATAAGAGTTTAATGTACTTATGATCATGGAATATAAAAAAAAGTGGAAAAAGAAATTTTTCATAGTAGACAAAAAGTAAATTTTGAAAAACTAATTCGTTTCGAGTTGGATCAATTAGAGAGTCCTGAAAATGAGACACAATACGGTAGGTGAAAACGGAATATTTCGAGGCGAAAACAATGCTTATGTTATATTCTTCAAGTGTAGATCAAGCAAAAACAAATATCAGTAACAAAAAAATTGTATGGTTTTTATGATCTATGGACATATGAATATTGAAGCCATTCAATTCATGAGTTCAACTATTGAGCAAACAAACACCTTTCATCTAAATCTAAACTATCAATCTTTTGTAAGACATTTTACAGTATTTGTGAAACCAAACTTTTCTACTCTTTCTACATAGCGTTTCAAATTTTATTGCATTTCACTAAGAATTTGTGTGTGCGCGTTTGCAATGGAGACATATTTTTGTTTAATGGCATGATGACTTATTTGGTACAATTCTAAAGTTTTATGAAGATGCCGTATATCTCTATTATAAAATAAGCATTTTCATTTTGGGACTTCCTGGTATCTCCAGCAGAACCCAGCTAATAATTAGATTTTGTTGGTTTCGATAAGAATCATTATAATTTTATGAAATGCTCTCAGAACTACGTAAAATCTTGTAGGATTTTGGAAGAATATCGTTAGAAACTAAAGGACAGGATCATAACCACATCTGATGTGTTCGAATCTGTGTGTAGCTTTGTTTTTGTACTTATACAGGTTAGATGAATTCTAACTAGAGGAGTACTAGAAAATTAATACTAATTAGTAAGGATGGTGGGGGTGTCATTCAAGCACTGAAAAAAATGAAAGTACTATACGGAATGTTGTTGCTTCGGAGGTATTTTATTGTACTATAAGAGTTATATTGCGGAATTTCGAAACCTCTTACAGGTTTAGTAGAAGATAAGGTTTTGTATGAGAATATTACAAGGTACTGAAATCAAACAGGTTTCAAACCATACTTCCGTGTAAGTTAGGATTTATCGTAAATCATTATGATATGTTTGTGAGTATTATTCGCTCACTTAGATGTTCCTGAGAAGGACAAAATTAATCTGAGCATGACCAATACATGTCCGCATCATAAGGGAGAAAGTGCCTTTCAAATTTCCAACCAGTTGAATTCAATACATGATAGGAGATCGTATACAACAGGGTGATTTACGACTCTATTATGATATATAGAAGAGCGATGAACACGTGGCCATGTATACAACCAACTAAACAATTGAATTCAGTCATACGGATTTAAAGAAAATCCTCCTCACAGCATTTGAGTGATGATGTTCGTGAAAATTTAATATTGATTTTCAGCGAATAATCATTGTATTCAACAAGAACTTACAGTTATTCAGTTGAATTTTTGATGGTTGACCTGCTATCATATCTGCATGTCGAATTCCGTCGGATATAACTTGCCATTTCGGCTTAGAACTCGTTAATGATTCCATATCCTGCATATTCATAGAATTCTTCTGCATGTCAGAACCATTTGATGCTGGAGCGCATTTAATCAGCAATGGATCGGTTTCCGTAGGAAAATTCTCTTCTTCTTTGGCGGATGTGCTCGAGAAATCCTTTTCTTCTTCGGCAGATCTGTTTGAGGTATCCCCACGTTCCTCAGTAGGCGTGCATAAAGAATCCATGTTTTCCCCGACAGATGTATATAGGGGATTCATCCATATTCTAACTTCCTTCGATGGGGTGTTTTGCGCAGCCATTTTTTACTGGAATTTAAGTAGTTTCCATAAACTTGTATAGTTTTATCTGAAATATAGGAGCAAACACGAACTTATAGACATTCAAACCTCTAGCAATGCATAATTTCATTGAAAATTTAAGGAAATGCTGCAGAAAGCAAAAGTATATTCATTCAGTATAACGGTAAAGGGAGCTTAGTATTTCGTGAGATCAGGTAAAATTAGTACGCTCTGGTTTGTCTTTAATTTCAAGTTCATTCTAAGCAAATCGTGGCACATTCCTCTTTCCAAGGAATTCAGATAATATGGAACTATTTATCGAAATTCTGTCCGATGAAAAGTTAGCTCTGATCAAGACCTTTAAAACAACAAAAAGTCTTAGAGAAACCTTTATCCAAGGCTGAGTTTTTCAATTTTACTGTCTTAAACTGGTATTTTGAGAAAAATGCAAAAGAAGTTGTAGAATTTGATTTTACGTCCAAAGCTTCACAAACTGGTTTTATAATGAAGCATAGTGTGCTTATCGACGTGGGGAATATTTCTATCGAATAATCTCAATTTTGACTATTTTTTCGAAACATTGGCTTTTCTGGCGGTGCCCCATTAATGTGTTTTCATTTAGTCGAAAGTAGACCATGTCTTTTTATATAATATCGTGTAAACAGTATATGACTCGAACAGAATCAGGAACATTATCTGCAGTCAGCGTACCTAATAACAACAGATATTTTAGATGTGTCTCAAGTTACAACTAAACAATTTTCATACAAAAAAAATAGACGTTTTATATTTTTCAGTACAGAAATATTTTCTCTATTCATTGGTGAAAAAATCACCTTTCTATCTTGAAAATTGGCTCAGTAATTAGCGGTAGAATCTAAGAAATTGAGTTTGTTGTTACCCAAGTCATTTTTGATCAGTCGGTTCTTGTCGGACGGGCTATAAATCCGATGCCACATGATTATCGGAACCAGTCGGTTATTTTCTGGCGGATTCCGGTCATATTCCCTGTTTTCCTTTAATACCTGGTTACCGGATACTGCAGAGACCGACCAGATTTACCAAATCGGAAACGATCAGGTCACTTGATACGATCAGACCGTATACGATGTGATCCGGCAATATCTAGTAAGAGGACTTTACCGGAATCCGCCATGCTCGGGACGCTGGATTTCATGGTAGATCCGGCTTAATCGATACCACTCGAACACATCGGATCATATCAGAAAAGAACGGTTCTGCTCACTGAATTTCGCTGCATCCGACAGCAAAGATCTGATCGAATCCGTTTGCATGTAACTACAGGATACCAAAGGAACATCTTGTGGTTCCTTCAGGCTGCTAGTACATAGCTCATACAAGTAATGGTAGCTATGAAATGAAAACTATAATCTATTAAGCAAGTGTTTTCATGAAAAATCAATCCGAATTAGTGACATGATCAGCTAATTATTGATGCCGGGAGCGATTGCCCATTCGGACGAATATCACTCTATCTGAGTCGAACAGATACGAATAATTTTGATGGTTCCACTGAAATTATTCCTAGAACTCTTGCTACTGAATTTCAATAAGGTACGCTGAAAAAATCAAGGCAGGGACGTAAGACTAATAGTTCTTATCTCGTCGAGTTAGGTACCGAAAGTGCATTTATTTTTAGGTCTTCATGGGGAAAAATCGGAGTTCGTTGGTCGGTCGAAAATTCAAAAAAAGTATAAGTACTCTGTCAGACAAACAGGAAAAAATAACGCGTTAAAACGCGTCGAAATTTTAACGAAAAATAAATCGTTAAAAGCGCACATTTTTATGAGTTTTTTTTCATTAAAGTTTATGAATGCGTTTTAACGCGTTTATGTTTTGAATGAAATAAAACGCATTCATAAACTTTAATGAAAAAAAATCATAAAAATGTGCACTTTTAACGATTTATTTTTCGTTAAAATTNAAATTTCAGCTCAATCGAATGTAATTGTGAAGAGTTATCGAATAAACGGACGGCCGGACGGCCGGACACATTGACCGATTCTATAGTGTACTCTTTTTTTTTGAGTACACAAAAACCATTATTATGAAAATTTTCATACTTACATTACTTTTAATTTGATTTTGAACTGAATAAAAAAAATATGCAGATATATAGGTATCTTTATATTTATATACATAAAGTATATTTATTTTGAATATGTTGTCCCGATCAAGCTAAGAAGAAAAAGAGAAATAAATATTATAAAAATATTGATGCTTACGTTGCTTTCAGTTTGATGTTGAACTGAATAAAAACTATAATTACTTCATGAAAAATTATGCTTACCCACAATTTCGAATTCGATTTTGGACTAAACAGAAGTAAAAAGAGCAATTATCGGATAAAAAATTATACATCATGTGATTCAAACCGAAAAAAATCGCCGGTAGATCGACGGTTTTTTCCGGAATATAGTGCATCATGTTTTAGTGCATCAAAAAGGCTGAGTATTTTTTAAGTCTGTTAAAATCAGCAGAATTTCGACAAAATCAGAGCTTCCCGATATTGCTGAGGCGCCTGAGCCACCTGCACCAGTCACAGAGCCCAATTCGGTTCCATTACTGAGATAAAGTTTTCATTATAGATGGTGCTGCAAAAATCATTATTATTCAAATAAATTGTAAAATTATTTTTCTGCATAATTGTGAACTCCTTTAAAAAAAGGAGTCCAAATTTGAGCAGGAAATACTTTCTATAATTATTTACGAATGGAACTGGAATATTTGGCCGCTACCGGCACTACACCGTCGGTATACGACCAATTTTTAGGACTGCCGCGGTATACCGACGGTATTGATAAGAAATGTGTGATATGGGATACCTATGATTTAGAATTAGATTTTGAACTAAATATTAAAAGGTGATGCGGATTCGTCTGAATTTAATTTATCGAATATGAGGCTCTGGGTTTTAACTAATCTTAGTATATAAACCAATTTTAACGCGTTAAATCACACTAAAAACATTAAATTGATGATTAATAGCTGAACAAAATAATACTCGTTAAAAAAACGATGCGTAAAAATACGTTCTTTTAACGACAATTTTCGCGTTAATGAGTGTTGTATTTTTTTAACGTAATAAAACGCGTCAAAATTGAGCTATATACGCGTAATAGTGTCAAAAAATCTAAAGGTTTTTACGCATTTTAACGAAATTTTAACTGGTTTTAACGCGTTTTCTAAAGAGCAATGACTGACTGGCGACCTGAAATACGAACCGAAATAATTCAAAATCAAGGCAGGTAAGTAAGACCAATAATTCTTATCTCATCGAGTTAGGTACTAAAGTTGCATTTATTTTGGGTGCTCATAGGGAAATAGTTAGAGGCATTATCTGAACTGAAAGTACGGTTGCGATGGTGCTGGTCAATAATTATACGGAATATTGGGCTTTCTTTACCGTTCGGACGGTCTAGGGTGATAGTTATAGATATTGACAACGTTTGAATGTACAGCTGGAAGGGTGTAAGTTGACTTTGTCTGACCCATAGGGCCGCCGTCCGAATCCGGCGGAATCAGGTCGGAACCTCAGCTTTTCCGGGCTTATCCGGCAATAGGGTCCGATCAAATCCGAGTTTTCTTTGATCGTTTCTGACCGGAAGTTGTCGGTTCCTTTTCCGGTAAAATACGGACTGGGTTCCGGGGGCAAGGATTCCCGCGAAAACCCTGTCGGATCCTGGCAGATTTGCATGGGTATCATAAGGGTTTCTGGAGCGATACGGTGTCGGCTCCGATGGGTTCCGGCAGGATCAGTAGGTCGGTTTGAGTGACCTGGGTATTAAATGAGCTGTTTCTAATTACAACAGCCAGCAAAAGTATGTCCTTAATAACAACACTCCATATAAAATACACGGGAGGAAGGAAAATGTTTGCAAATCAACCTTTTCATTATGAAAAGTTGAAAATTTCGGAAGACTTCAATGAGAAAAAATGTTCATCACCTTTCGAAGTAGTTTTATCCAAAGGTTCAGATTCTTACCTATTATATTAAGAAATTATTTAATTTTTAAAAATAAAATTTTTGTTTTTATTAGGGGCACTGTACTTTTTTTTTAATTATGCTGAATTTTATTCGTGACATCCATACATTTTTTGTGATTTTTCCACAATTTTTGCGGATGCTTACGAAACAAGTCAACAGATAGGACTACGATAACAAACAGAGAAAGAATGACAAAGAAGAGAAAACGAATAGAATGAAAATCGAAATCGAGGCAGCGATGACGCGATTGGCGTGCATTGCTGTTCTTCCTTTGTTTATTCTTCCGATACCGTATATCTTGACTCCGAAGACACCGAGCCGGGGAAAGGAATCGAATCATCTCCTATCTGACTAAGAATCAGATCCATAGAACCACTACGCCATCCCCTGCTAGCACTGTACTTAATAACAACAAGCAGCTAAAAAATGTTCCTGATAACAACAGTCCTTGTAAAATACATAGTAAAAATATTTTATCTAGTAAATGTGACTTTTTTATGCTTAAACTTGAATATTTTGTTTTGGCTTAGCTATCAAATGTGTTTTCCTACTCATTCTACGTTGATATCCAACAGTAAAGTTCAATCGAACGATGAACATCTTGTGTAGGTAACGCTGGCGAATCTAGCATTTTTGTAGCAGCTGGATTTCAGTTATAGAACATGGAATCAAGTTGAAACGTATCGTGGTTACTCTTGAATCATCAAGATGAACGTCTATGAAGAAAATTTTTAAATTCGATTTTTCAACAGCAAGGCGCCACTAATCACAGTCATGCTTTTAGCATTTGTCTGGCAATGTTGATACTCTTGCTGTTGGCATGCAATCATGCTCTCAATCAAATTTCATCGATAAGTTTCGAATTTCGTTGCAAAATATGCATCCCTTCTCAAGATTTACATAAATGAGTTTTCGTGGGCATCACGGGTATCCTCTCAAAATTCACAAGGATGAGGGTGCGGGTGTGGGTGTGGAAAAGAGCAAGACTGACACCCACACCCAACTCACTAGG